GGGGGTGGAGCGGGGGGGCTCTGCTCTGATGGCGCAGGGGGGTGGAGCGGGGGCGGCTCTGCTCTGATGGCGCAGCGGGGAGGGGGGCCTCCGTGCTCTGATGGCGCGGTGGGGGCTGTAGGCGAACTCTGTGCTCTGAAGACAGTGGGCTGGAGGGGCTGGGTACTGCAGGAGGGGACGTTTCAAGGAGGCAGTTCTAGAGGTGTAATGTCAAGTGGCTTAGCAGAGAGGTGGTTGGGAGCTGTAGAAATGGGAAAAGAGGGATCACAGCAGGTGGGGAGGGGGGCCTGGGGTGCGGAGGGAGGGCTGAAAAGATGGCTCGTAGGCAGGGCAGGCTCAGCTTGTTTGGCAGGACTTCACAGTGAAATCGGTCACCTTGTCTCTGAGATCTTCTGGGAGGAAAGCCAGCCTCGGTTGACAAGTGGGGGAGAAAGATGGTGGCTCGGCTCTGTAAGGAGACTGGGAAATGACTGCTGCGGGGTGACAGAACCCGGGGGCGTTTGTGGACTTCAGAGGATCCGCCAGCCACCAAAAGCACGTGCGGGATTTTGTGTCATAGCTTTCACCCGATTTTGAAGTGTGCTGTGGCCCCCAAGCAGTTGGGTAGAAGTCATGCTGAGAAAGAAGGAGCATTTTCCTTAGGAATGAGGCCAGAGGGGAAGGGAGAGACGGTTGCGGTTCAAGGGAGATTCCAGACTCTGATCTACTGCAAACAAGGGATAAATCCTATGCAACACTTGAAAACATTTCTTTTTTTTTTTTTTTTTTTACATCTTTATTGGAGTATAATTGCTTTACAGTGGTGTGTTAGTTTCTGCTTTATAACAAAGTGAATCAGTTATACATATACATATGTTCCCATATCTCTTCCCTCTTGCGTCTCCCACCCTCCCTATCCCACCCCTCCAGGTGGTCACAAAGCACCGAGCTGATCTCCCTATGCTATGCGGCTGCTTCCCACTAGCTATCTATTTTACGTTTGGTAGTGTATATATTGTAAATGCTACTCTCTCGCTTTGTCACAGCTCACCCTTTCCCTTCCCCATACCCTCAAGTCCATTCTCTAGTAGGTCTGTGTCTTTATTCCTGTCTTACCCCTAGGTTCTTCATGACATTTTTTTTTCCTTAGATTCCATATATATGTGTTAGCATACGGTATTTGTCTTTCTCTTTCTGACTTACTTCACTCTGTATGACAGACTCTAGGTCCATCCACATCATTACAAATAGCTGAATTTCATTTCTTTTTATGGCTGAGTAATATTCCATTGTATATATGTGCCACATCTTCTTTATCCATTCATCCGATGATGGACACTTAGGTTGTTTCCATGTCCTGGCTATTGTAAATAGAGCTGCAATGAACATTTTGGTACATAACTCTTTTTGAATTATGGTTTTCTTAGGGTATATGCCCAGTAGTGGGATTGCTGGGTCATATGGTAGTTCTATTTGTAGTTTTTTAAGGAACCTCCATACTGTTCTCCATAGTGGCTGTATCAATTCACATTCCCACCAGCAGTGCAAGAGTGTTCCCTTTTCTCCACACCCTCTCCAGCATTTATTGTTTCTAGATTTTTTGATGGTGGCCATTCTGACCGGTATGAGATGATATCTCATTGTAGTTTTGACTTGCATTTCCCTAATGATTAGTGATGTTGAGCATTTTTTCGTGTGTTTGTTGGGAACACATTTCTTTTAAAAACGTCGAGCAGTGTGTGAACCAGAGGAGGCTGAGCTAGCACATGGTCCTGGCTCGCTCTGCAGAGGGTGTGAGGAGTGCTTTACTCTCCTCAGGGGAGTGGGGTCTGTTTCCCGGATTTCAGGACTCCTGCAAATGAAGGCGCCACCCTTCCTCCCAGAGACCAGGGCCGAGCAGCTCCTGGGCTGGGCCCGCAGTGCAGGTGGGCCCATGGTCAAGGCTGGGCCGCGCCTCCGCTGACCAGGGTGTCTCCTGACACCCACGCCCAGTTGCTGTCGTCATGCTCAGAGCCCCAGCCACCTGTTCTGGGACTTCTTCAGCCTAGAGTCTTGATCGTCAATCCAGTTACACCCAGGACTCTGCTTTTGATTCGGAAACACCAGTCCATCTATGCTCTAAGCCATGGTTCAGAGGGGTTTCTGCTGCTGGTTTGTCTGAGGCGCTGTGAGCGGTGTAGACGGTGTTCCAGGTAGAGGAATGTTTGTGATTGATGGGCTTCACACTGAGAATCTTGGCCCAAACAGGAGAGGAGAGAACAGCTGAAGGCCAGAGGGGAGGTGTGGATGTCAAGGAAAAAGCAGAGCAGGTGCCGGGCCCAACGCCTTGACCTGAGGGCGGGTTCCCAGGTGCACCACAGACCCCTGGACACCGCAGACAGCTGGATTCCGTCCCTGTCACTTGCATGTCCTCGTGTCTGCACTGGTTTTCCCGGATGTGGAAGTTTTCCAGCTGGTGGGGCAAGCGGCGGGTTGCTGTTGGAGCGGGAGAGTGGTGCCCTCCTGGGCGACCTTTTCCTGTGACATCACTTATTTTCCAAGTTGACAGGTTCTGGCTTGGCCAACAAAGTGAGGTCACTTTTCTCCTAATAATGACCTTTTTCTTCCCCCATGTTTCAGCCAACCCCACTTGGGCAGCGTCCCAGATTTCAGGTTCCCCGTGGCAGACGGGCCCTCGGACTCCTTCAGCAGCAGCGCGGTGTTGCGACGCCCCCAGAAAGGCCGGCTGGCAGCGCTGCGCGACGAGCCTTCCAAGGCAAGGCCCCCCCGCCCCCGCCCCGCCCCGCCCCCTATCCTGGGGCGAGCGCTCTGTGAGATACTGGCCTCCTCACCCTACGGTTCGGTGACTGTCTTGAAACAAAGCTTGATGGGTCGCTTTCTCTCTTCCCCTTCCCCCATTTTCCTTTTTCTGACTAAGAGTTTACTTTTAAGGCAAGCTTTTTTTTTTTTTTAAGAACAAATTTTGGTAACATGTGACCTACTGTAAGGCACAGCACAGTGCTGATTAGCACAGGTTTGAGGTCGTCCTTAAGACTAAACAAATACACATATTCATCATGTTGTAGTGAGAAGAATTCTCATTTGGAAGTTCAACTGCCTTCATATTTTTGTGCGTTTCATGGCATATATTTTTTATATATGTCTCTGTATTTTGAGCTCCCATATTCAGTGAGCAGCTAGTTTGGGCCAGGCATCCTCAGACCTAGGGCTCCAGCAGAGAATTAAAAACAGACAAAATGCCTGCACACACACACCCCCAACATGCACACCCTAGTGAGAAGAGAGAGGCAGCAGTGAATGGAAAGTAAAATAAAATATGCTGTGTGTATTCTTTATCTACTGCTACATAGCCAATCACTGCAAAGCTTAGTGGCTTCACAGTGAACATTTAATAGTCCACAGTTCGTGTGCACGTGGGAGCATCTTAGTGGGATGGGCCCTGCTCAGGGCCTCCTGAGGTCGCTGCCACCGGAAGGCTCCCCCGGCTCCATGCTTTCAGACTCCCTCGCCTGGCTGTTGGCGAGAGGGCCCAGGTCCTTGCCGTGTGGACCTCTTCATGGGGCTGGCTTTCCTCAGAACTCCCTCCGAGAGAGAGCAGGGGAGAGCCCTTGCATGCCGCAGTCTCGGAAGCTGCACACCTTTGCTTCCACTGCGTTCTGATCATTAGAGTGAGCTGCGAAGTCCTGCCCTCACTCACGGGGGTCAGGGAGGAATTGCCCTCTGCCTCTTGAAGGGAGGAGGATTAAAGAATTCGTGGACGTATATTTCAGTCACCACAGCCTGTCAGATGGTAATAAGCAGGGAAAGGACACCAAGGGTACCCGAGTTGCCAAACAAGGAGGGAGGCGTTCGAGCAAAGACCTGAGGAAGGGAGGGGGACGTAGCCATGCGGAGGTAACGGTCGTGGTGCCCTGGACGCAGGCCACGGGGGCAGGGCAGTCTGGTCGTGGTGCCCTGGACGTAGGCCACGGGGGCAGGGCCGGTCCGGGAGCAGCTCAAGGCTGCGGTCTGTTTCCTGCTGTGACGGGAGAGGCTGGGGTCTGGGCCTCGGTCCCGTTCAGGTGGACAGGTCGGCAGCTGGGTGTTCCAGCCTGGACCCGGGAGAGCTCTCAACTCGAGGTAGACTTGGGGTCATGGGCGTACAGGTGGTATTTAAAGGCGTGAGCCAGAGTGGGTCACCCGGTGGGTGCCTGTGGAGAGAGAGATGAGGTCCACGGGTAGAGCCGTGGGACACCCCGGATTCATCAGAGGTCGGGAGGCTGAGAAAGGGCGGCAGGGGGGTGAGGAGTAGCCCGGGAGGGCGGGGCTGCTGAGCCAGAGGCTCCAGTGCTCTGCTGGGCAGTGTGGGGGAGGGGACCTAGGCATGCGGGCTCCACGGAGCCCCCTGGAGCCACACCTGCTTGCAGAGAGTGGGAGACAGACGGAGGAGGGAAGGGGGGGCGTAGAGGCTGCCCTGGGGCACTTTCAGGGAAACGCAGTGGTTGCTGGAAGGAGCCCTGGAGGGAGAGTTCTGTGGTTCCTGCTGTGTGCTTTTAAGGAGAGAGGAGGGAGTGGACATCCTGAGGCTGTTGGGAATGAGCCCCTAGGACATGGATTAGCCACAGGGAAGGAGGAGTGATGGCAGGTGATCCTGGACTAGCTGAAGGGGGTGGCCCGGCCCTGGGGAGGGTCGGAAGACAGAGTGCGAGGGCACAGGCCCCAGGGGCAGGGGGCTGGGGAGCCTGCGTCTAGAGGCTGCCCCGCGGTTACTCTGAGGTCATGTCTGGGAAATGGGAGGCAGGACCCTGGGCTGAGCGTGGAGGTGGGGATGGGGGGCGGGAGGAGGTTTGGGGAGGGAAGGGGTGTGGGATGGCCCCAGAGGAGAGGCAGCGCAGAGCCCCAGCGAGCACGCTCCTGTGCACGTTCTGATGACAGCGCAGAGGGCGTCTGGGCTCAGCACAGAGGTGCCCTTGCGACGACGCGAGTTGCAGTTCCCTAGAAAAGCCCCGCTGCGCTGCGGCTCCCTCGCCCCGAGGGCTGTCGGGGGCAGGATCTCCCACCTCTCTTCTGCTGCTGCTCTTGTCTGCGCGTTAAGGGACCAGCCTCAGGAGAGGAGACTAAGGGACCTCTGAGAGCCCTGTTACGCGGTGGCGCTGGTAAAAGCTATGGCAGCCGAGGTGAACCGGCGGCTTTGGATCTGAGGGATTTTTTTTACTCCCCTTCAGCTGGCTGGTGGTGGCACGGAATTAATTTTTTTACTTTTCGGTTTTTGTTTCTGACGCGGTCGCCTCAGCCTTGCGAATAATGTCGTAGAATTGCCTCGCGTCCAGGCTGGGAAGTGAACGTTGCCAGCCCGCCCGAGAAATAGATTCTTCTCCTGCCCATTTCTTAAGTACTGCTCGCTTAACAGATGCCAGTGGCTTCTAAGCGTGACCCATTTTTCCAAGGTCGTCTGGGTCTCTGTGTAAAATTGTTTCAAGTTGCTGGTAGCCTGAAGTTGCCCTGACTGTCGCTGTTGAGCCGCGGCCTCTCGTGCGCAGGTGCAGACCCTGGACGAGCAGGACTGGGAGCGCGCGCGGCAGGCCAGCGTGCTGGCTCACGTGGCGCAGGCGTTCGAGAGCGGCACGGACGTGCCTGACGGCGCTGGCGAAGGGGACACGCTCTTCAGCTCGGCCACTCTGCTGTCACCCAGCGGGCAGGCCGATGCCCAGACCCTGGCCATGATGCTTCAGGAGCAGCTGGATGCCATCAACAAAGAGATCCGGTGCGTGTGCCCATGCCTGGCTCCCCGGAAACACGGTGTCTCCGAGGGGTGGTCGCTACTTAGAAAAGCCTAAGTGTTCCATGAATAAGAAAATGTACTTCGGTTCTGTTTTAAGAATCTTAAGTCCTGAGGTTGCCCTTGCTTATAAAGCTCAGTTAAGCAGGGCGTTGTCTCCACAGTTGTGGGGTCAGCATACTGTGTGAGATGTCGTGGAAGGGGGAGAGGCGTGAGGCGCTCAGCCCCTGCCCCCGGAAGCTGCCGACACATCTGGAGAGAGATGGCGGGGTGCAGAGAGCCGAGGCCACGTCCATCTGGGGTGCAGGGCGGAGACATGGTGCCGGGGAGTCGGCTCCCCGGATTCCTTTCCCGGGGCAGGGCTGGGTGGGCGTGCCACAGGAAGTGAGGGCACACCCTTCATCGGCCTCTGCCAGCCGGCATGTTCCCCCAGCTCTGAGCCCCGAGGTGATGCCCCCCTGCAGCCCGTGCGTCCTCCGGCACAGAGGGGTCGCCCTCTTGTGGGTCCCTTGGAGCCTCGCGTATTCTGCGGTGTGTCCCAAAGCCACCGGGAACAGAAAATCCGGGGTTTTCGGGTTGGCAGGCTCCCACTGGGACTTGCGTTTTGCTTTTAAGTTAACATAATGTGAAAATTGGTTCTTGTAAGACAGTGGGCAAAGGATGTGTGTTTGAGTATTTTTTAGTCTCATCAGTATATTTAAGATGTTTTCTTTAGAAACTGTCATAGCAATTATAATAGTTACTTTGCAAAACAGGGAATAGAATCCAGAGGACTGCCTTGTAGTGATCAGGAGGCCTTAGGTCTGGGGGCAGCAGTGTGACCGGGTACCCTGAGGCCTGCCCGGTGTCAGATCTGCCGTGGCCACACCTCCTGCCCCAAGTCCACATGCAGCAGCCCCAGGCTGGTGACCCTGTGGCGACCCGGGCAGAGTTGCTGCGCAGGTTGCTCTTGTCACGTTACCTCAGGCAGAGGTGCCCGTTCCCACCTGCAGAGAGCGGGGCCAGAGAGGGAAGCCGCAGAATAAGCGGTAAAAATGGCAGAAGGAGGTTGTGCTGCTGCACTTCTGACGTCATAGACTGACGTCTTCGTGTGCCATGTTTGACCCCAGACGAGCTCTGAAAGACTGTCTTTCCCCATCCCCGCGGGAACTATGAGATGATTATATACTTTTATTTTTGTAGCCAGGTAAAAGTGATTTTTTCCTTATGCAACAGGTTGACCTGATATAACTGGTAAATTCTGCCCATCGACTTTTTATCAAAAATGAGAAAATACTTTCAGGATATATAAGTAGAACTTAAATTGGAAAGGTTACGACAAGGATCTGGTATTTTAATATCAAAATAATTGTATTTGCGTAGTCAAGTATTTAGACTCTGCTGTTTAACCATCCAGTACTCATTCGGGGAGAACACTGACCTTGAGTTCCAGAGCAATGCAGCTGTGGTTGAGGTGAATCCAGAAACTCACACGAGGGTCTTCCCTGGCGGTACAGTGGTTAAGACTCTGCCCTTCCACTGCAGGGGGGCACGGGTTCAATCCCTGGTTGGGGAACAACAACAACAAAAAACCAAAAAAACAAACAAAAAAAGAAACTCACATGAGGCTGGTAGAGAACTTTATGAAATAATACTTTTGTTCAAATTCAACCTTAAAAAAAAATCAACTCAGCATTTTCATCTGGTCTAGAGACCTGTGTTTAGAAACTCCAAATTGCTTTGTGAATTGCTTTTTTGATTATATCAGAGTTCCTGATTTCCAGTTGAAAAAATTGATAGACAGGTATGCAGCTTTGCTGTAACAACAGGGAAGGAAAAATTTTAAGTTTTAAATATCTCATTATGCAGTGAGAGTTGCCACCCAGCCCCCATCAGAATTTTAGTGTAAATAAGTAAAATCAAACGTGAATGATCGGAAGCAACTTTGCAAGAGTCAGTGGTAAGTCGTTAATCGTAACACAGGATACAGACCCAGATTTGTTTTCCAGACATGTTCCTCTGTTTTCTGACAAAGGCAGGTGACGGTTTTACTCTGTTTCAGGTTGATACAAGAGGAAAAGGAGAACACGGAGCAGCGGGCAGAGGAGATTGAGAGCAGGGTGGGCAGTGGGAGCTTAGACAGCCTTGGTCGTTTTCGATCAGTGAGCTCCATCCCCCCGTACCCTGCTTCCTCTCGGGCCAGCTCTTCCCCTCCCAGCAGCGGGCGGCCCACCCCTCGAAGGGCCCCGCACAGCCCGGCGAGGGAAGTGGACAGACTAGGCGTCATGACTCTGGTAGGTGTCGGCCTTCTCCCTGCTGCACCCTCCCCCAGCACACCTGGTTTGCTTGCGTGCTTGCTTTGTTAACCTAGAAGAAAATCAGGTGCATTTGCTATGCTCAGAGGTTCAAGATTTTTAAAGCCAGCTAGTATTTAATCAGCCCCCCAACTAATGACAGATTAATTTTAATGTTTGGACCACCAGCTTAGCATGTCATCATGAACTCATCCAAAGTTCTCCTTTGTGCAACATTGGGCATGGCCTCTGCAAGGCCCAGCAGCTACAGGAAAGTTTTTGTTTTCCAGGAATAGACAGCTTAGCAAGAGTAAACATAGGCAGCCCTAGTGGCATCTCGAAAACTGTACAGAGAGTCGATGCTGTCTTCCTTTACACTAGGGATGACTCACTGGAGGGGGCAGGGCATGCGGTCAAAACAAAACCAAAAAAGCTAAACTGGTCCTCTTGCTGAGGCAGCTGGCCGCGCACTCACGCCGGCTCTGCATGTGAAACCGGGTTAAAAGCCGGTGCCCCTGGGCTTCCCTGGTGGCGCAGTGGTTGAGAGTCCGCCTGCCGATGCAGGGGACGCGGGTTCGTGCCCCGGTCCGGGAAGATCCCACGTGCCGCGGAGCGGCTGGGCCCGTGAGCCATGGCCGCTGAGCCTGCGCGTCCGGAGCCTGTGCTCCGCGACGGGAGAGGCCACAACAGTGAGAGGCCCCCGTACCGCAAAAAAAAAGGAACAAAAAAAAAAGCTGGTGCCCCGCGGCTCCCAGGGAAGCACACGGGCGTCCTCACTCTTCCTCATCTGGAAATGCAGTGACCACGTGGTGACAGCGTGCAGCTCTGAAGCACACATTATAGCTTTCTTGTGTGTTTAGGTTTTGTGAGTGCATTGCTGTTTACCACATGAAATCATATTTACAATATTCTGCTTTTTAACAGCACTTGTATTATAATTTTTTTCCATTACCACCCATTTTCATTTTAGCTGCATTGTTAGCCAGCGTATAATTAAATCAACTGTGAATCATTTTAGTGACATGTGAAGTGGTAACTAGTCCATTTTGTGGTATTTTGGCAGATACCGTTTTTATAATTTACATCATTAGCTAATTAGCTGATATTTAAAACTCTTTGACAATTTCATTTGTGGTTTCATGCTTAGTATCTTTCAGAGAATTCGTGAAAACCGTTCTGTGTATTTTTTTCCTTGTTGTTATATGGTTCTCTGTACTGGCTGACGGTGTGTCTGCTTCTGTCATCGGTGTTGATTCCCTGTATCATCCTTTGTTTTATCAGTTAATCCAGACCCCAGCCTCCCCACCGCCGGGTCTGTAGTTTACCATCCAGCTCCGCTCCCTGTCCATCCCACTCGGTTATAAGAGTCCCTTCCACAGCAGCGCTGTGCTCCACAGCGTGTGTCTGTGCTTGGTCGTGGCTCATTAGTGGGGTCTCTGCGTTATCTTCGTTTCTCATTAAACAGTGTTTTCCCCCTATAGTGGTAAGTTTTATTTAGTGTATCAGTGCATAATAGGTATGGCTGCAGGCGTGATGTAGATGGATCAGAGCGTTTTTGCTCACACTGTATAGCATACGTGTAATTCATAAGTGAGATGTTGCTGATATAAAGAAGTGACCCACTAAGTGTAGAATTAATGGGCTCTGACACAACGTACTTTCTGGTTTGGGTGCTTCTATTACTTAAGATGGTAAATCTCATCAGCTTATTAAACATGCACAGTTAATGTCTTTACTAGACTATTTTTAATTAAATTATCTTCTATGATTCATAAAATGTAAAGACTCTATCTGCTATTATGCTAGCTTTTATTCTTACATATTTTCACAGGGTACCTGCTTTAATCAATAAATTTATTTTGAGAAGTTTTAAATCAAATTCTAGGTAAGGATTTTACGTTAATGTCCAATAGGTGGTTAGATTTGTTCAGTGTTAAAATAGGTATTGCAATTACTTCCTTATCAGTTAGATTTTGCTATTTTAAAGTATAACATGTTTCTTATTAAGAAAAACTAAGTTATAGAGAAGTTTGGCTTAGAATAGACAACTGTTAGGGCCCTTTGTTATACAGAATGCCATATGATAAGAAATTGAGTATCTTGTAATAGAATTGTATCTTCCTGAGGAATAATTTATAGTGTTTCTCTAGGAAATCTTGAATAGCTTATTATATTTAACTTTTGTGGTCAAAAAAATGTTCTATTTCCAGTTACATTTTCTCTAAATCTTATCTCACTTAACATGTGTTCTGTCATTTTCTTTTTAATATATTTGCCTGTACTGAACCTTGAATTTTTAACTTCAAAGTGTGCAGTAAATCTGGTTTCTCTTCATTTCTTTGCATGCACCTGTCAGCCTAGTGACTTAAGGAAACATCGTAGAAAGGTAAACCATTTAGTAATTCAGCATGCCTTCGTTGCTGTGTGAAGTATTGAAGAGGCCCTGTTTTACGTGAATGAACACTGTGTGGTTGAGTACTGGTGAATAATTGATGTTTTAATGGAAGTGTTGAAACTCACCCTCCACTTAACATATGCTGATGGTTCCGCTGGAAATAGGTCGTTCACTGGGACAAATGTAAGAGTTTGCCTTTCTCCCGCTTGTCTGCCTTCTAAGTGTTGCACGCTTATTTATAATAGACATAGTGGTTTTTATTTTTTGTTATTATTTTAAAATTTTATTTATTTGTTTATTTACTTATTTATTTTTGGCTGCACTGCGAGGCTTGCGGGATCTTAGTTCCCCAACCAGGGATCGAACTCCGGCCCCAGGCAGTGAGAGTGCTGAGTCCTTAACCACTCTACCGCCAGGGAATTCCCCATAGTGTTTTTTAAAAAGAAATGATGGGGGGCTTCCCTGGTGGCGCAGTGGTTGAGTGTCCGCCTGCCGATGCACGGGACACGGGTTCGTGCCCCGGTCCGGGAAGATCCCACATGCCGCGGAGCGGCTGGGCCCGTGAGCCATGGCCGCTGAGCCTGCGCGTCCAGAGCCTGTGCTCCACAACGGGAGAGGCCACAGCAGTGAGAGGCCC